GCGGCTCACTAGGCTAATCCTCCACCTAGCGGCGCCGGCACACCGGGTTCTAGTCCCGGTCGGGGTGCCGGATTCTGTCCCGGTTGCCCCTCTTCCAGGCCAGCCCTCTGCTGTGGCCTGGGAGTGCAGTGGAGGATGGCCCAGGTGCTTGGGCCCTGCACCCCATGGGAGACCAGGAAAAGCACCTGGCTCCTGGCTCCTGCCATCGGATCGGTGCGGTGCGCCGGCCTCAGCGCGCCGGCCGCGGCGGCCATTGGAGGGTGAACCAACGGCAAAGGAAGACCTTTCTCTCTGTCTCTCTCTCTCACTGTCCACTCTGCCTGTCAAAAAAAAAAAAATAGGAACAACATAGAAATGGATTAATGGGGTAATCTGGGGCATTCCGTTGTATAAGATATTTGAAAAGAATTAGGTTGAACTTCATGCTAGATGAGCAAAATTGACAAATTCATTACAAGTTTTTTCACGTAGCCAAAAGTTAATCAAAAATGTGGCAAAAGATCACCATGACATGTAGCCTTTATTTTAAGGGGAGAAACAGAAAAGTAGAACGGCTTCATGCATTTAGGAGAGGGAGCGAATCCTACAATAAATGATTGTTCCAGTCTCTAGAACTTTGAACAGTACCCACCATGACAGTTTTTTGTGCATACCATAAAATTTTTACCTGGCCATAGGAACTCAGTGGTGGGTATGAAGTTAATGAATAAGTAGCAATATATAAAAGAAACAGACTGGGATGGTGTTTAAGGTGTAGTTATTACTTACTAACCATACCACTCAATAGGGCATGCCACTAAATATGCTAGTTATAACCAATTCTTGCATTTTTTACCTGGGCAAATTAGTAGACTGACTTTAGAGTCTGTCACTTTTAAAAAAAAAATACTTGAGGCCGGCGCCGCGGCTCACTAGGCTAATCCTCCGCCTAGCGGCGCCGGCACACCGGGTTCTAGTCCCGGTCAGGGCGCCGGATTCTGTCCCGGTTGCCCCTCTTCCAGGCCAGCCCTCTGCTGTGGCCAGGGAGTGCAGTGGAGGATGGCCCAGGTGCTTGGGCCCTGCACCCCATGGGAGACCAGGAAAAGCACCTGGCTCCTGGCTCCTGCCATCGGATCAGCGCGGTGCGCCGGCCACAGCGCGCCGGCCGCGGCGGCCATTGGAGGGTGAACCAACGGCAAAGGAAGACCTTTCTCTCTGTCTCTCTCTCTCACTGTCCACTCTGCCTGTCAAAAAATAAAAAAAAAAAAATACTTGAGACTTAAATTCTGTTAGCACCACAGTCTGCCTTCAGTAATATTAAAATATCTTTGAGGACCGGAAGCATTTAGTTGGAAAAACAATCTTTTTGCAAATGCAAATCAGTATTACTAACACTCTGGGTCAAAGATTAGGTTTTTAATGATATTAACAGTAGTCTGGTAAACATTTAGAGTCTGACATTGAGAAACAAAAGCTTGTTACCTGACTAGTATTTTTGTTTAAAAATATTAGTTCCATTAGCTTATTTAAATTGTCTGACATTTATCCATAGAATTTATATTTATTTCATTCCTTTCATCTCACTGAAAACTGTCTGCAGGCTCTTTGATTTGGATTAGATGTGTGAAGTACTGTCTTTTGCCAAAAACCTCAAATTAACTGTTCTTTTAAACGTAGTGGATTTGTGTTTGTTTGGAGATCAGTTCAAAACTATCTGTACTATCTGTACTGCCTCTGATGTTAAGATTTTATGTATAGCATAAGGAAGCTAGCTCTGACTATTTTCCTAAGAATAAATACCTATTTTTGTAGCATGTCTTAGGATCTCCAGGAGTCCAAGAATTATTGTGAGTGTCCTCCATTTCATTTTTCACTTAATAGCTTTTAAATAGACATTTGGGAGTCATTAGAGACCTGTCTTGCTTTTGGATTATCTTATACATTCAAAGAATCTAGTCATTGGTAAAAAAAAAAAAAATCCCCAAGATATCCTCAATTGCAAGCACATGAATGGGAGGTGTATAGAATAAATATTGGTCTGGTCTTCACTTAATTTTAATTGTTGATGGAAATATCCTGTGGTCATGTACATGTCTTTGTATTTGAAGTTAATGGTAATTTAATTCTGGTTTTCTGGGAACATGGCCCACTGTGCAGTGTTCTTTTCTACCACTGGCAAATGAAATTTCTCTGAAGATTTGGAAAGAAACAAAAAAAAGAGTGTCCATTGTTAAATAAACAACAGCAGTCACCATGTACTTACTCCCCATGTAGGATATCTGTCCTTCATGTGTTGTAGAAAAAAATACACTAGAGAAAGAGAATTATAGATAAATATTCCAGATGGACATAGATACAAAAATCCCCATCCAAATATTAGCCAATCTAATCCAAAACACATCAGAAAGATCACTCACCTAGACAAATTGGGATTTATCCCTGGTATGCAAGGATGAATCAACATTCTCAAGTAAAGAAATGTGATATATCACATTAACAAACTGATGAACAAAATAAACAAAGATGATCTTAATAGATGCAGAGAAAGCATTTTATAAAATACAACATTATTTTATGAAGAAAGCCTTATGCAAATTGTGTATAGAAAGAATATTCCTATATAAGAATGTTGTTCATATATTGATTGTGATCACATTGAATCTCTAGAATTATTTTGGTTGTATAGAATTTTGATAATATTGAATCTTCTAATCTTGAAAGATTTTCCCATTTTGTATATTCTTATTCTTTGTTTAGCATTTTGTAATTTTCTTAGAGATTTTTGGAATCCTTAGTTAAATTCAATCCAAGAATTTATTTTTTGTGTCTATCATGCATGAGATTAATCTTATGAGTAGTTTCTCATCCCTGGTATTGTGTTTATATTTTTAGGAAATGTTATCTTACTAACCACAAACATTATTTTTTAAGATTTATTTATTTTGCTTGAAAGTCACAGTTGCAGAGAGAGGAGAGGCAGGGAGAGAGAGAGAGAGAGGTCTTGCATCCACTGGTTCACTCCCCAGATGGCCACAATGGCCAGAGTTGCCTTGATCCAAACGAAGGAGCCAGGAGCTTCTTCCAGGTATCCCACATGGGTGCAGGTCCCAAGGACTTGGACCATCTTCTACTGCTTTTTCAGGCCATAGCAGAGAGCTGGATCAGAAATGGAACAGCAGGGTCTCAACTGGTGCCAATATGGGATGCCGGCACTGCAGAAAGTGGCTTTACCCGCTTTGCCACAGTACTGGCCCTAGTATTGTGGTTGAATGCAAAGGTTATTGAATTTTGTGTGTTGATTTTATATCCTGCCACTCTACCAAACTCTCAGTGAAGTCTTTTGGATCCTCTATATATAGAACCATGTCATCAAATAGGGGTAGTTTGGATTCCTCTTTTCTAATTTGTATCAATTTGGTTTCTTTTTATTGCCTAGTGGCTGTGGCTAAAACTAGCAGGACTATGTTAAATAGCAATGGTGAGAGAGGGGATCCACTGTATGGAGGAGAAAAAAAAAAATATTCTCCTCAAATCAGCTAATTTGGCCCCTTCTAAACAAAAATTAAAAGGTCAAGAACATGCAAGTCTTCTGGAATTAAATCATTTAAATTTAAATTTAGATCATTTAGATGATCATACAAAGACCCAAGGAACCGCATTGTTTGGAAATATCATGAACATTAGCTATCACTTCGATGGAGCAAAACCAGAACATTTTCCTGAAGCCATATGGTTGTGGTTCAGTATGTTTTTTGAATGACCCAGTTATCTTATTATTAAGGGTCAAACTGATAGTTTTGAGACACAAACACAAAAGCTCTTGTAATTAAAAGTGTGACAGTGAGAGAACACTCAATTATCAAGAAGGATTGGATAGGATAAGGTTGTATTTTTGAAAGTTTAACATTGATATCAAGAAACCAGAGTACTGATCTTTTTGAGGGTGGCCAATCCATTTGATGTAAACATGAAGAACTTCTAAAGTAAAACTTCTTGCACCTTTCATTAAGTGCATAAATTGGAAATAAGTCTGGGAAAGCTCTCCAGAAATACATAGGAGTCCCCTATCAGGAGGATGAGTGCCCTGCCAATAGTGTAAGAAAAATTCTGCCCTCATTAAGAAATTTTCTGATACTATATGTAACTTTATTGTTTTTAGTAGAATTAGTGTAAAACAGTGGCATGACTTTGTAGTACTAAGTAATTTTTGGGTTTGACATTTGTAAAATTCAGGCTTTTTATGTATGATGTATCATAATAGAGCTAATTTATCCACTTGCTGATCTTTGCATGATCAAAATACCAGCTTTTTGCTGCTTTGAAATTAGAAGATTTTTTTAAATGTAACTGTTGATATTGGCATTTGTGTATGAAAAGACTCCTTAATAGATCTTGTTTCTAAAAATTCAAATACAACTACAATAAATTCTAGTTAGTCAAGTGTTACTGCATAAATATTCTGTAATATGTGTATAAAAGTGATGCTTTTGACTTCATATGAAACACTCCATTTGACTTATTCATTGATGACTACTTAAATTAATAAACATTACATTAAATTTTCATAAAGGGTGAAGCTCTTTGGGAAACATTTGAGTGAACTTATAAGAGTACTAGAGACTCAACCAATTTTCTAGTTAACCATTATTATACATTGCATGCTCACTATCCAGACATTCAGGTAAGTGCCAGCTATATGGTGATTAATAATAATTATTATTAATAATAGCACAAAACTACATTAAATGTACTGGTGGCAGTTACATGACAATTGAATGTAAGATATTTATATAGGCAATAACAATAAGAAAATAATTATTCAGCTTTTGTATATTTTAAGAGAAGGTATGGAATATAATTCAAGCATCATTTCCAAGTAGTTCTACATTGAATTATTGTTTTTATTTATCATACTTAGATTAAAGGTGCACTGAATTAGCAGAATTCTCAGTCAGGTAATCATCTCATTCATACATTTCTTGACTTTTATATTCTCATGGATATTTCATTTCTCCATGTAGCATTTGAAGTAATTAAAAACACATGAAAAATCTTACGGACATTTCATTTTAAAGATGTTTATGTTGAGTGGCCCATGAGAGCGGGAGGAGGTGGCGGTGGCAGGAAGATGCTGCTGTTTGGCATAAATTGCAATCAATTAGGGATCATTTCTCAGAATTGAGTTAGAAGTGGAAGTTCAGAAAAGCGAGGCCACCATTGCTGCTTTGAGCACCTCAGAAGGGCAGAATGGATTTATCAGGAGTGAAAAAGAAGAGCTTGCTAGGAGTCAAAGGAAATAATAAAAAGACTGCTCTGATGAGAAGTCTAAGGACCGCTCTAAAGATAAAAGGGCCACCAAGGAGTCCAGTGAGAAGGACCCCAGCCAGGACCAGGCGCGAAAGCGGCGCAGCGCTTCCAGCGGTAGCAACAGCACCAGGTCTCCTTCCAGCTGCAGCTCCAGCTTGGGCTCCAGCACCAGCAAGGGCTCCAGCTCCTCCTCCTCGGCTTCAAGCCGCTCCTCAGCTCCAGCTCCAGCAGTTCCTCTGGCTCCTGGAGCGCCTCCTGGTGCAGGCACAACAGAAGGCACTTGGGCTCCAAATCCAAACCACCTTAAAGAGATGGAAAGCAAAGGAAAAGACGGAACCCATCCCCTAAACCCACCAAAGTGCACATTGGGAGGCTCACCAGGAACATGACCAAGGACCACATCATGGAGATATTTTCCACCTACGGGAAGATTAAAATGATTGACATGCCTGTCATATATGTGATAACAAAGCAGTGGATGTAGAGAGTGTTCAAGTGATACAAAAGCAGTTGTGGATGGCCCATGTTCTTGAGCCCCTGTGCACTCGAGAGACCTGGAAGAAGCTCCTGGCTCCTGGGTTCGGATCAGTGCAGCTCCAATCCGTTATAGCCAATTGGGGAATGGATCAGTGGATGGAAGACCTCGCTCTCCCTCTCTGCCTCCCCTCTCCTTGTATCTCTGATTTTCAAATAAATAAATAAGTCTTTTAAAAAAGATGTCACAATGATGTAGCTCCAATAGAACACTGTATTGTTTTCTTTTCAGATCATTTCAGTCATTCCATCAGCAAAACTAATAGCTACTCTGAAAATTCTAGAATCTGAGGAGAAAAGGAGAAATCTAAGTGGGATTTCATAGGGGAGTCATTACTTGTTAATATATTATCAAAATAACATTTTTAAATGAAAAAATATCCTTTGTCATTAGACTTTGTGATGCTTCAGATTAATCCCTGCTAAGGATACTTTGGGAAATAAATGTTGACAGTGTAAGTGAAGAGAACTTAGTTCCCACTGTTGTAAGTGTGCCTGGCAGAACACAATGTCTGTCACCTAGCAAGAGGGCAGGATAAAAGGCCATCATCACGGTATAGCAGGTTAAACCACCATCCATAATGCCAACATCATGAGTGCCAGTTTGACTTCTAGCTGCCCCGGTAGCATTTCCTTAAAGGGCCAGGTGTCTGTGCCCCCGCTGAGGCTGAGCAGAGCCGGCTGCGGGGCTGTGGTCATGGGGGGCCGCCATCCAGAGCGTCCTGAGCCAGGGAGAGAGAGGCCAGCTGCTGGGCCCTGGCCACATCGGCTCCAGCCCCATGCCCGCCTGAGTGCCAAGGAAGCCAATCCCTGCACAACACCACTGGCGCTGCCCTCCCCCGAGAAGCCCTCAGCCAGAGGCTGGGTGGGGAGGAAACCCCTGCTCCTGCTCACTGCCCACCTGCCCCCGCCCCGCCCCTGCCCAGTCCTGTCCAGCCGTGGTCACCCCCGACCTCCCTTCGGGCTCCCGGTCTGGGTGGGGCCCTGGTTGGGAGGGAGCTGGGGTCCCGGGACAGCCCCCTCCCCCCACTAAGTGCACCCCATGGCCTCTCCACTTCCCCCAGAAGTTTCTCTCTGGCCTCTGCTGTCCGCATTTCCACGGCTTATGGAGTCTGTGGCTGGGAATTGTTGGCCATGATCTGACATTTTAAAGAGTTTTTTATTTATTTGACAGGCAGAGTGGACAGTGAGAGAGAGAGACAGAGAGAAAGGTCTTCCTTTGCCATTGGTTCACCCTCCAATGGCCGCCGCGGCCGGTGCGCTGCAGCCGGCACACCGCGCTGACATGATCTGACTTTTTAAAGAGTGATTGATTTGAAAGTGGGAATTGAGAGAAAGAGAGAAACAGAGAGACAGAGAGAGAGGTCTTCCATCCTCTGGGTCACTCCCCAGATGGCCGCGCAGATCAGGAGCAAGGAGCTCCATCCGGTCTCCCACGCAGGCATTGGGGCCCAAGGACCCGTGCCATCCTACACTACTCTCCCAGGCCACAGCAGAGCTGGATCGGAAATGGAGCGGCCAGGACTCGAACCCGCAACCACGTGGGATGCAGCCCAGCAGGTGTCCCAAGCCATTGCCTCTTTAATCAAACCTCCGCTCGCCCTGAGCTCTGCTCAGGGCCCGCGTTCGGTCCGGACGCTGTTCAAACCCCGGGCCCTGAGTGAGGCCTGGAGGCTCTGCCCCCGGTTCGTGGATTCCGCTCCTTGAGGGCTTCAGGCAGCTGAGTGGGGGGCCGCCCGCCTCCCCCGCCAGGAGACGCTCGCGGTCTCCCCGGCCACTGTGCAGCGCAGCGCCAGCGAGGCCCTGGGCCAGGGTCCTCGCCCTGCCCAGCCCTGCCGCTGGGCCGCGGCCTCCACAGGAGGAAAACGTGCTGAGGGGGAGGTGGGCCGCGGCCTCCGCGTTTCTCCCCTTCCTCTCCCACCCACCGTGTCCGTTTCTCGCCCAGGCCCTGCCTCCCCTGGCCTTCAAAGCCCTGGGGTCATCATGCAGCTACAATGAGGCTCAGAGGCAAATGACGGCGAGGGGCCGGGACTCCTCAATGGGTCCCGCACGCGCCGCGTCCTGCTGTGGCAGCCACCAGCGCCACGCCCACAGCTTTACTTCGGGGGCCAGGTACGGGGCCAGGTGCGGGGCTAGGTGCTGGCCAGGCGCCTCCTCCCTCTCCAGCCTCCGCTGCCTGCTGGGCCCCCGGGCGGGCTCTGGAGTCCCGGGCCCGAGAGGGAGGAGGTGCCCGTCCTGGGGGAGACGCGTCGCGGGGTGGGCATTGGAGCAGGGGGCGCCCTCCGGCCCCTAGCCCCACCCCAAGCCCCGTGGTCCCCCCAGAGCCTCCGGGGTCCCCCGAGGTCCTGCCCTGCAGGGCGGGCGCACCCTTGGCGCCCCATGCATGCACAGCCATCCCAGCGCCCGCAGCCCGGGACCCTTGGACCCTCCTCCCTGCACGGAGGGCGCCCCCCCCAGCTGCGGCCCCAGCCCTGGGGCTCCAGGAAGGGGCCCTGGGAGGTGGTGGGAGGGGTCCCGCTGCTCCGTGGGCCCTGCGCGCCAGGCCTGGCACAGGAGCTGAGGAGTGGGCGGCGGGGCTGGGAGCAGCTGCTCCTCCCAGGGGTGGGCGCGGGGGGCTGCTCCCAATCAGAGCTGCAGCCGCCCCTGCAGCACAGTGCCATGGGTGGCCACTCGCCTGAGCTCCCATCACAGCTGCCCTTTCCATCTCTCTTCCTCTCCCCCTCCAGCTCCAATGGTCCCAGGCCATGGGAGTCGCTTGAGCTGAGCCCATGGTGGGGCGGGGGTAGGGTCAGCGGCGCCCCGCGCCAGCATGGAGGTGCCCAGCAGGGCTGGCGAGGACGCGGGCTCCGAAGCTTCTGGAGTGGCAGCTGAGCTAGGACAAGACAGCCAAGATGTGGTGGATGGTGAGTGGGCGCCGGGCCCACGTGGGCCAGCGTCGTGGCCCTGGGGCTGTGTGGCCGCCGGCCGGGCCCCTGTGGCACGGGGGGGGCTGTGGGCAGGTGGCCCCGGGGGCTCCAGGCAGGGCCGGGGGGTTGCCGCGTAGGGCGGGGCTGGGGCAGCTCCGCTAAGCTTCGGAGCCCTTCTGGAAGCTTCTAGGGGGCCAGGACGCGGCCCTTGGGGCTGTGACCCCTGCCTTGGGGGAGGGAGAGATTCCAGGCCTGACTTGGGGCCAGAAGAAGCCTGGGCCTCTACCTGGGGATTCAGAGCCTGCGGCCCAGGGCCAGGTCCCCTCCCACTCTGGGAAGTGGCCTGGGTCTCATGGCCGTGGCACCAGGGCCCTGTCCGCTGCAGCTGCCGGGCAGGGGTGGTGGTCCCCAGTCCCTGGTGCCGAGTTCATGGTCAGCTTCAGCTCTCAGTCTCCCCTTGGCCAGCATTTATCATACACCTACTGTATCCTGGCCCCGTCTCAGGTGCTCAAGAGAAGGGCAGGTGGTGGTGGCCTGGGGCAGGTGCCCACGTGGGCCTGCGTAGCCTCAGAGTTGAGACCGGACAGTTGACGAAATGGGCAAAGAGAAAAGCGGGCTGAGGACAGGGCCTGGGTAAAGGCCCTGGGCCAGCACGGAGCCAGGAGGCCGGTGCGGCTGGAGCAGGGGGGTGGGGGGGTGCCCACAGCAGAGGCCCAGGCCTCCCATTCAGGGGGTTATGCCTCCCCCAGGGAGCCCAGGATGCACATTGTCAGCGGGGGGCATTTACTGCAGAGGTGTGGCCTGGGGGCACCTGTGTGCCTGCCCCTCCCCAGCCCTCAGCAGGAGCCTGGAGCTGCATCACCCTGCCACCAGACCCCCAGCATAGTGTGGTCGGGTGGCCACCCTGGCACCTGGGAAGGACCCACATGCCCGCCAGGGCCGCGCTGGCCTCGCTGTGCAGGGCTGAGGTCCCTGTCTCCAGAAGCTTCGGAGCCCAGTGGGGCTGAGGCCTCTACAGGAGCAGTGTCTACACTGGGCTGGATGGGTCCAGGCGGGAAAACTGGAACTGCAGGCGGTGTGGCCATGAGAATCGCTTCCGTGGCTTTGTCTCTTCCGTGGGGGGGATTCTCATGAAGGAGGCAAGAGTGAGGATGTGCAGGGCCAGGACAGGTGCCGGCCGCCGCCAGCCTCAGTCTCCCCTGCCCGCTGCCAGGCCACTGCCCAGGCCGGAACTGTGGGCCGGGCACACGGGCAGCCATGTTCGGACCCCGGGAGGCTCTGCTGTGAACTGGCAGTCAGGTGGGGGGGCTCGTGGGCACCGGGCTGGCACTGAGGAAGGGGTGCTGGCTGAGGGTCTGGGGTCCGGGGACGAGGTCACGGCTGTGCAAAGGCCCTGGGGCAGGATGGAGCTGTGG